GTTGGGCATTGTTGTGAACACTGAGTATACAATGATGTACAAAGTCAACAGGTTCTCTGCCACTGTGGAGTTTATAAAGTAATGTACAAACAAGAAAAAAGGGCCATAGCCATGCTGCAGTGAAAGATAACAGGAGAACTACTGGGGGTGATCAGTGTGAGGCGATAGATCCTTCAAGGCAAAGGGGACAGCATGTGCAAATGAAGCGGGAAAGACATTGGCATTTTTGAGAAACAGAAAGGTCAGAACAGCTGGGGCAGGGCTGATGACACTGAGCAAGGAAGGCTTCAAAAGCACAGTGAAGAGTTTAGCTTGTAATCTAAGCCTAATGGGAAGCTCGAGAAAGAGTAGAGGCAGGGGAATGACATCATCTAATTTGTGTTTTGAAATCATCACTTTGGCAGCTAAACGGAAAATGGATTAGCAGGCGGGGAGAATGAGAAACACATGCAAATCTTGCATTTCTGAAAGAGGCTGATGAAGTTTAGACCCTCTCAGAAACTCAAACATTTTCTTTGACTACCATATTAATAATAGTAGTTGCTATTTATGGAGAAGTCACTGTGTGCCAGTGTAGACCATGTACGAGCACTTTAAGTAAAGCGTTGTTTAATACACACAAGCAAACCCCATGAAGTGGATATTATCAGGGTCTTCACAGAGATGAAGAAACAGGGTCAGCAAGGTTAACTAGAGTGCCCACGGTGTTATAAATGACAACTGGCAGAGCTATGGTTTGAATCAGGTTTTATCTGTCCCCAAACGTTCAAGCATATTCCCTGCAGTTGCCAGATTAAATTTTCTAATCTCCAGTGATCATACGTCTTTGAGGAAAAGTATAATGCTTTTGAAGAAGCACATTTGGAGAAACTCATTTGGTCCTCACTACAATCCTATAGGGATCAAGTACACTACAGAGAACTGTCCTGCAGTTACCACATTTCAGATGCAATCTTTAATCACTAGTCATCCGACTAGATAAATAATTTCTATTTATTTCCACAGATATTAAGAATTTCTACTAAGGACCCAGCAGCAAATCAACACACCAGAGGGAAAGATGGATAGCAAAACATGTCAAGTGTTTAATGTTAAGGCCTCATTTCATAAGCAGAGTTTCTCTGCAAAGTTTTAGAAGATGTGAGTAGGGTGATGACAACAAGCAGGGCCTCCTGGGTGTCTTCTAGAAGCAAAGCCAAGGCTTGACTTTCCAGGCTAAATTAACCTCCTTCCAGCTTTGATCAAGTTATAGGCCTATTATGCAACAAGGTGGGAAAAGAAGATAGTTATACATCAAAAGCACAGGGCTGCAATACCGGCTACCTCTTTCAAACACAGAGATCTCAGTGTACCTTGTGTATCAAAAGTCATCTAGAAACTTTTGTTATTCTATAACACTTGCCCAGGAATTGTGAATTCACCTCTAACTACTTGCTGATATTTTTAAGCTCTTCCTCTAACTCACAACTTTTTGGTGTCAACCCAAATGGTTTATCAGCTAAATCTCAGTATTTTGAGGTACATTTCACAGAATCCATATAAATAATACTCCACTTCAATCGTCCTATGTTCTAGTATATGATACACACATTTATTAAGTGCAACCTAGTCTAAAGTAGACATTGTTAAAGTTCATTGTTATATAATATAGTTTTAATGAGATCTCAAAGGAATCAAGTTAAAAACTAACATTTATACATCCCACTATATCTTTTCAAGTTAATTTTTTTTAAAGATTTTATTAGGGAATTGGGGGAGAGGAACAGCATTGGGGAATCAGGGGAAGGGGAACAGACAAGTTGCTGTCCTTTTGTTCTTCAGTCTAGTTGGGGAGGATGTCATTTCACTGGCCCATGTTGGTATTATCATTGCACTATTCCCAGGCAAGGCAGTCGCTCACTGGCCATTGGACGGCTGCTCATAGCAACTCATGGCAGCTCAAGAAAGCGCGTGCCAGCTACCGGCCAGCCCCACTGCAGCCTACGCCATCACCAAGTGACTCACGGCAGCCCAGCTCCAGGTTGAGCTGTTGTTCACCATCTTAGCTGTACAGGGCACAGCATCACTGGCCCTCATGTGGGATCCCAGCCGGGGCCCTGATGCTCAGAGCTGACGTTCCAAGCCAACTCCTAACCAACGCGCCACTCAGCTGGCCCTAAGTTAAATTTTAAGTGTTACTAAGTAGCTATTTTCTCTAGGATAGAATATATGTTATTCTCCATTATTTAAATAGTAGAGAAAGTTAGTATAAACGTATATACAATTGTGCAATGTAAGAAAAATATGTTCAACTTTAGAATTGTTTCCCATAATACTTTTTACTTTTCTCAACTTATTTTGCATATTAAATTTAGCTTGAAGGTCCCATGCACATCATACATGACAGTAGGAACCAACTTGGCTGAAAGTGTAATTATAAAATTAAATATGATAATAAATGTAATGACGAAAAATAGGATAAGTCCCCCAAGGACACCTGAAAACTGACTATGAATCATTATCCATTATAACAGAAAATGGAAAACTCTCACATGAGAGCATTTCTCAGGATAAACCAGGTCAGGAGGAAAACAAATTTCACCTAAAAGTACCCTGAAGACCATGAGCAGCTTAACTAGAATTTTGCAACTAATTTAACTGAGAGTAGAGATTAAATTATTATAAGAAGGATGATCAAAATGAAATAAGAGTTTCCTGGAAGCTGAATGCACTCTCTTTCATTATCTTATTTATGCACACAAAGGAGCCCATAGAAAAATTAAAGCAAAGAGATGTAACTGAAATTGTTTGAAAGTAGTCAGAAACATAATAGAATCCAGGTCCAGCAGCCTTGAGTGCTCTACCTAATTTTCTATTAATCCATATAGTATTCTACATTTTTTTCCCCAACCCTTCAATACTTAGCATATGTTATAAATACTTTTTGTGCTCTCAATTTTATTAGTACATCCTGTTCTTTTCAATCCACTACTTGATAACTATTGCTGACATCTACTGAGCTGTTCTTAAAAGCAAAGGCACTGTTCCAAGCTCTCTCTAGCAGTTAATCCTCACGTGAACTTGGTAAAGTAAATACAACTATTATCTCCATTTTACAGATGAAAAGGCTGAGACAGATGTGTGGCTCCACAGCCTGCTGCTTTCTCAGTCACTGCAGTGCGTCCAGTGGTGCTCTCCCCGCACCCCCCGCCCCAAAGATATGTCCATGTCCCAACCTCTGGGACCTCGAATGTGACCTTATTTGGAAAAAAAGGTCTGTGTGGATGTAATTAGGTTAAGGACTTTGAGATAATAAGGTTATCTTAGGTGTCAGGATGGACTCTAAATCCAATGACATGTGTCCTCATAAGAGACAGAAGAGATGACACAAACACGCTGAAGAGAAAGCACGTGGAGATGGAAGCAGAGACTAGAGTGACACGGCCACACATCAAGGAATGCCTGCAGTCACCAGGAACTGGCAAAAGAAGGAAATGAGTTTTCCCTTGGCAAGCCCCAGAAGGAACATGCCAGATTTGGAACTTCTAGCTTCCAGAACTGTGAGAGAATAAAATGCTGTTGTTTAAGCCATCAGCTTGTAGTAATTTGTAACTACAGCCCTAGGAAACTAACATGATCACCCTGTCATACTGCCACCATTCTAGGAACACAGGGGGCCTCTTCACTACCCTCCATAGTTTGATCCCCATTAGGAAAGACCTACCAGAGCTTCTCTCTCTTTCTACTATGAAAGCACCCTCTGCAAATGGTTCTTTCCAGCAAAACGTTTTCCTGAATGCTGCATCTGCTAATAATTCTTTACTTACTTCTACAATTCAGACTCTATTGTTTCTATTCTACCTAGTCTTTATTCTACGGCAATGCAGGCATTTTCCAGTTAAAATAGTAAATGGTTTTGCTCTATTAAAAACACATTTTGCACATTAATTAAATTAGTACAAATAACATGCAATCTTAAAATTGAAAATGCAATTCACTCTAACATTACTATTCTGAAAACTTCCTAACATTTTAATTCAGAGAATAATTGATGTTATATGTGATAATGTATTTTAGCACATGCTTTGAAAACATGTGTATTTAGGATTTCAAATAGTCCATGACATACTTTAATTTACTCTTATTGAAAATTATTTCTAATCCTATTCAATATTGTGCTGCATAGCCTCTCTTTGTCCCTCTGCCTCTGTCCTTCACCCTCCTTGCCCTGTTGAGTTCCAGTGCTGACCATGAAAATTACCCAGCATCTCATCCATACCTAATTTAGGGGATGAGATACGGGACTTTTGAGCTGATGATATTTAGATGAGATTTTGGACCTTATCTTTTGAGCTCAAATTAATTGCATGCCCAATGGTTGTTGGTGAGTTCAGTTGGCAGGAAACCCTGGCAGATGGGAGGGCAGGAGGAGAGTGAGGTCAGGGTCTTTAATTCTTCTTCTCTCTCCCTGCAGGACTTAAAGGGTGGGCAGTGGCTGTGCTCCTCCTGGGGTTGCAGCACGTGGCCTGTCAGGAGACCCCTCACCCCCATCTACAGCTCTCCCCCTTTTGTCCCTTCAAAGCATGGGTGGTGGAACTGCCTCCCCCTATCCTGAGACCCTGGTGCCTCCCATCACTTACTTGTTCTCTTAATCCTAACCACACCTCCATAAATAGTCCTTTCAATAAACTCTTTTCAATCACGCCTTTGAGTATGCTGTCTGTCTTCTGCCAGACCCTCACTGAAATAGCTTAGCTACTGAGTATCCCAGCTGATAGCATCAGTCTAACATCCTGAATAATTTATTCCCATAAATAAAATTAGTCCAGCTTTTCAAAAGTTTTGTAGCTTAAAAGGATTACAACTGGCTATGACTGGTGTGGGTTTTTTTTTCTTATTTTCTTTTTTTCTCCTTTAACAACAACAAAAACCAAACGTGGTAGCTTGGGATAATTTTGTTCTTCTCAGACACTTCTGCTACAATCGACTCTTATCACTAAGTGATTTTGGTTCCAAAATACCTGTCATCACCATCATCGATGCACTCAGGGAAGACCAGGCTACAGCCAAAAAGCATGATATGTTGATAGCAACTGAGGCGATGGAGGTACGTGAAGAATTTGAGGAGCTTCTCCATTTCCGTGTTTTTGACAATTGAGGAGAGAGGTATTAGCGTGGTGTGGTAGGGCAGCATCTGACACTGGCTGTGGGTGATGTTCACACAGGCACCTGAGAAGTCAAGATAATTCCATTTAGAAGCAGACACATCACAATTACATGTTCACAAACTCATTTGATATGATGGGTTAATGTGTTCATAAAATATGTTCTTTAAATAAGCATGATCTACAGACACATATATACATACATATATGTCTTTGTGCCTGCACGCATGTGAATGTGTATGATAATGAAATCAAGCTACTTATATTCACAGAGGAAGAGCATTTGGGTCCTGGGAAAATGTGTGGAAAAATACACTCACACCTAGCTGGTGGGCATATAAATAGGCGATCACTGTTTTGGATCACAGCTGGGCAAGGCACTATGTATCCAAAACCTTTTACAAATGCATATCCTTTGAAACTGTAATATCATTTCTAAAAAGTTATCCTAAGGAAATAATTGTGATTGTGAACATGGATTTAACTACAGGGATCTTTATCACTGCATAGTTTACAATTTTTTAGAAGATAGAAGTCATCTAAGCATTCAACAAAGGGAATTGGTTTAAAATATTATGGAACATACAATAGAATACTTAACTTAGCTATCTGGAAGATGCTTTGACTATTTAATCATATAGAATGATGGTTACAATATAATATATAACAATAACAAGTCACAAAACAATTTGTATACCATGGTACTGTTTTTAGAAACATGATTATGCAAGGATTTCCAAGTCCTGACTATGTCACCAGTTCAGAGTCAGTTCAGAGCCTCAGATTTCATTTTCTTTCATAGCTGGTTCTTCTCCCGGGCCCTACCACCTCCACAGCCTTTCCTTCTTCATCCCATAAACGTTCATGGTTGGTCTGATATAAATCAAAATATTAATATGATTCCAGATGATGGGATTTTAGGAGACATCTTTTTCTTTTTTAAAATTCTGTATTCTCTTATTGATTTATATAAAGATTATTACTTTTATTATTAATAACAAGAATTGAAATTTTGGTCATTGTTTAAGCAAGTTACTATTTAAAAGCAGACTCTTCAGGCTTTAGACATGTAGTGGAAATACTAATTTTAATTCTTTTGGAGAGGAAGAGCGAGAAGGGAAAGAAGTTCAACCAGAAAGGAAACATCTCTTCAGATCACTGTATAACTCCCAGTCAAAAAAGCGAAGAGAAAAACCTCGCCAAACCAGAGGCCAAGTCCATTTTAATGATAACGTTAAAAAAGAAGGTTGCCTCTCTGATCAAATTGCCAAACTAACCCTTTAGTCTGTAATACAGAATAAATAAATACATCCTATCACAGAAAGATTCCCAACCTCCTTTTCTGATTGATTCATTCATTCAGATAGATCACCACAAATATCTGGTCATGGTCTTCTGCAGTCTATGTCTAAGTACACTTCTTAACCTCACATTTCTTTCAAACCTCTCTGAAAACCACCCCTGCCCTACAGGGATTCTTTCCCCCAAATGACCAGATTTTAGCCATTAGCTCAAGAGTCTTACACTTCAAGACACAATTCCCCATTGTTATATAATATTTATTGATCATCCAAAACCTGCTGAACTCAGTGTGGCATGATCAAAACATTGTTCCCACTTTGAAAGGCAAGCAATGACATGCAGAATTTCTCTGTATGCTAAACCCTAGAATAGACACGGCAAAAAAATTTAAGGGCACACGGTATTTTTTACCTCATCAAGCTCAAGATACAAAAATGGGAGAAAAAAATTAGACACAAGAAAAAAAGTCCACATTAAAATATGCAGACAGAATACAAATAGACACATATATACATGAATTCGACTTTGGTGAGTGGTCAGGTAGGGAGTTCTGGGCAAGTTTCATGAATATGATACTCAAGTCATTTAGTGAGGGAAGTCAATACACATTTCAGTGTGGTAGAACATTACAGACAGAGAAAAACTTACATTTCAAAATGATATGATTGTAAGTATGGTGTTACAAGAGAGACACTTGCTTATAAAAGCTGAGAGTAAAATTTTCTCCATCAAAAATACAAATTCATTTGTGGAAATTTCAATCTGAAGAAAACATTTGCCGATAACCAGCCTTGTGTCAGACACCATAACAGGTACTCAGATTGCCTCATTCACAATTATGTCATTTTCACAACCCAGTAAAGTGATATCATAACTATATCATACATGAGCAAACTCAATTTCAGGAAGGCTAAGACATCTGCCCAGAAGAACATAGTTATTATGTGGAAATTCCAGATCTTCAAACCTATATCTTCTGAGTAACTTCCATTTGCAGTCATGTTAGATGAATGCAGAGGGGGTTATTATGTTAAAAACACTTATCAAAGAAGATAATTCCTAACACTCTTTGAGAAAAACAGGCTAAAAAGCATATAATGATATAACACAGGATCTGCATTTTTATTCACAGATAATACACCCATGTATACTGACCACATGTTATAATTCATTTTAAATTAGGTTATTTTCTTTAGGAGTCATCAGCTTTGGGGTTTATATACTTAATGATAAACCAAATTTGAAACAATGAGATGACCAAAAGCCTCATTCATCTTACCTAGCCAAAGAAAACAGAAAACAGTGAATTTTAAGAGATCATTTGAAAAGTACAATATAATGAGGAAAATTGCACTTTGGTTGTGAGTGTGAGTTGTGCAAAAAAAAAAAGAAAAAGATATTTCCCCCTCTAAAAACAGCTTCCCTTGGGAAAAAAGAACCTATACTCAGAAAATGATTAATACAATAGTATGAAACCTTAAAAATTAGTCTCAAAATAATTGGTATAGACATAAGTAATAATATCTTATATTTGTATAATGGTTTTCTAAAGTTTTCCAAAGCACTGACACATTATAAAATTTAATCTTAAAAATATAATGCATATCCTCTTGTTGCAAATGAAGAAACGAAGGCTCTCATAGGAAAGTAGGTAGGTAGGTAGGTAGGTAGGTAGGTAGATAGGTAGAACGATGATGAATGGATGGAAGACTGGATGGACAAATAGATAGGTAGGCAAATAGACAAAAAGTGATTTGCAGAAGGATACATCCTCATTAACACAAGTGAGACTGATACACAGGTCTTCTCTTTCTTAGGACAGCATCTTCCCATTTTTTCGCACAGCAAACACCAAAGAAATTCAAAACAGCAAGAATTTAATGTAGGGTGAATGATTAGGGAATTTGTAATGACGAGGAAGAGCTCATTTTGCTGCTTGAAAGATATAAGGTCTGGATTGGCAGGGAGTGTATGTACTACTGTTAGAGAAAAATAACTAAAAGCACTAAGAATCATAATGACATGTCACAAAACCATTGAAAAACTTGATTCTGGGTAGAAGACTTTAAACTTTGCTAAGAATTTGCTCATAGACCACAAATATAAAAGGAAATTACTCTTTAAGACTCGTGACCTCAAATCTTCAATATTCAAGTAACTGTGTAAATTTCCTATCATCCCTTCTGCCTCAGCATGGCTGTCAAATATTACCTTTTCCTAGAATTGTCTTTGAAACATAATTCTAGTGTTGTATTTTGCACATTCTCATCAGGGGCAATCAGTTTTCATAAGCCAGCTACACACTGTGCACCATGCAGAGCCACTTCTCTGTGGGGAAAGGAAAGGGTACATTTAGAAATGGACTCATTTATTGTTGCTATTCCATCTAACTTGGTTTTCATAGGGTAGAGAAAAGAGGGGAAAGTTTGTTTTTCTTTCCAGAGAACTTCTTACTGAGTCTAATAGAAAGTATAATAGAAGTCAGAGGTGCTATGCAAGAATGTGTAAAAGATACAATGAAGTAATTAATGATAGCATTCACATTGGTATCATACTCAAATTGTATGTCTTCTCTTAAATAAGCATTACTTCAAATGCGGGAATAGAAAGGTAAAGTTAGAAATAGATCTGAAGAAAAAATATGCTTCTTGATGTAATGTATCTCTGGTAAAACAGAAATATTTATTCTTATTAACTCCTTAATTCTAAAACACCATTGCTAATAAGACATGATTTAATAACAAATAACAAATTTTCAGAGTAGGCATTGATTATAAGACAGGTTCCAATTTGAGAAAAAGTTAACATATGAAAATAAAATGCTGCTAGGAGTTGAGATAAGTCATTGAATTTGTTTTGTTTTCTTAATCTGACTCAATAATTTCTAGATCAAATTGGGGGTTTTTCTACTCATATCACACTGCTAATATTTCTAGACACTAGAATTAGGAAGGAAAGATGGTCTGTATAAGAGTTTTCTGTATGTTCATTTGGAAATTATGATACATTCTGTTTTTTCTACTTCTAAGATTAGATAATGTGGAGTCAGAAATTTGTATTCATATGCTTTTTTAATGCAAAAATTAACAAGAATAAATGGTTTACTTTTCTAAACTAATGTACACTCAATCAAATGTTCTGAGTAGCTGATCTTAAAATGATGATACCTGGATTTCCAGTCAAGGTGGCAGAGTAGATAAACGCTGTGCTTGCCTCTTCTCATGACCACATCAAGATTATTAATACACCCAAGCTACAGAACAACCATCATTGAGAATTGCCTGAAGTTTAGCTGAACAGATCATACAACTAAGGATATACAGGAGAAGCCACCTTGAGACTGCTGGAGGGGCAGAGACATGGACAGGGCTGGTTTCACACCCACATCCATGTGGTGGTTAAAAATCAGGACGGATATCTCAGCTGCAGAGGTCCCCCTGAAGAAGTGAGGGATCCCAGCCCCACACAAGGCTCCACAACCCAGGGTTGTAGTGCTGGGAAGAGAAGTCCTCATAACTTCTGGCTGTGAAAACTAGTGAGGATTGTGGCTGAGAAAGATGGAGGAGAGCTGGAGTCCCAGGCGCTCCTCTTAAAGGGCCCATGCACGGACTCACTAATGGAATTGCTAGTACTGATCTCTAGAGCTTGGGCATCAGCTTAAAATATGCCAGGGACATACACAGAGAAAATGAATTGTCTGGCTTCAGGGTGGGTTGGAGGGGCAGCCACCTCCTAGACAAAAGTACTGGCAGAATCCATTAC